GCAGCTCTCCCTGCATGTCCTCTGAGCCTGTTTATTTTTCTAAACTAAAGTGAAAACATCTCATTGGACTCTTGATGCTACTATGCCAGAGGAGTAACCAGGAGAGGAGGTCCTGACTGTTTTAGAGAACACGGAGAGGCCTAATACTGTTTCTGCAGCAAATCAGCCAAAAAAAGACTGCATCTCCCAGAATGCACTACACATTGAGGAAGAGTTACAGAGATGATTTAGATGCCTGTGTGGTACGACTCTCATGCATCAGTATCATTAACTAAAGAGAGAGGTGTGTGTGGGTGTGTGTGTGTGTTAAAAACTCCTGAAAGGTTTGTACTCAATGCAGCAGGCATTTAATTCCTTTAGTGGGTTTGTTACTGTGAGACGTGTGTAAAAAGTGGAAAACACTTTACTGTAATATAAACCCTTCAGGCTCTAGTGTCCTTCATGGATGAACTGTGGCTCTCGGATGGGACTCAAGCTATCGTTGTTTCTTAACCGGCAAGATGTCATGAAAACTTAAACTCAGTGGAACAAAGACGTCATCTCCAAGGTTTGTCATCTCAGATCCAAACGTTCTGGATCTCCGTTTTAACCTCAGTTACCACAGCAGTTCTCTTAAAGAACAGCTGTGGCATTTTGACGATGAAGCTTTCATTTGCAGTCTAATGTGAGAGACCTGATGTATAGAACAAAACCTTTAGTTTTTATAAAGATCCGCATAAGCTATTCCACATCGCTTTGTTTTAGGATTTCGTTTTTAAACCAGTAAATGTTTAAGACTCACAAACAAATTGCTTTCACATCTCAGGAGAAAAACAAATGAGCCTAATCCCTCAAAATGTCTGCCTGTCCCTTTAATTTAAATCAATATGGTGATCAGAGCCCTGGGCAGGAAGCATTCGCTGCACAGGAAGTTCAACACTAGGTGTGAGCCTCAACCCAATTAATTAAAACTTGGTTTATTTTAGTGTTTTCATTCAAAAAGTGAAACTTGTTTTTCATATAGATCTAATAC